TCACATTTTTTCCAGAGTTTGTAATTATTATCTGTTTGAGGCTTAGTCTGATGTAAACTATTCTGCCGTTTCCAGAACTAGATCCCAGAAGAGACTCTTTTGTGCCAACATTTTGCATGTATCACATTCTAGCAAAATGTAACTTGTCATGGGCTTGTGAAAAGGTATTTATTCACCTTATTTTTCTCTGTTCTTTATTGTCAATTCATTAGTAATCATTGAGTCTATTCAGTGGTAATTTCTCATTAAGTTTTTATTTTGACCTCTTCTAGAATATATTTGTTCATGTCACTATTCTACTTAATTACCTTAAAGAATTCTTGGCTTGACATTCAGGGGTATTTAGCAATCTGGCCCCTACTTATTTTTGTAACTTCATCTCTTAGTAGTCTCCCTATTTTTTTCTATAAGTCCAAGCCATAGCAAGTTTTTTATTTTTTATTTTTTTATTCCCTAAACCTACTGTATTCTCTATAAAGCTGTGCTTTTAATCATACTGATGCTCCAGCCTGGAATGCTTTTACACTCATACCTGCTGGTGAATTCTTACTCTTTAAGATGCTTTCAAACACCACCTCCTCTCTGAAGCCTTCCTGATATATATCTTGGTCTGTTCCAATAACATTAATAGCTTCACTCCTCTGTATGTTAAAATTACCTTTGTTAGTACTTACACTGTTTTGTAATTTTCTCTTTATGTATCTGTTTCCCTCACTGGACCAAATTCCTTAAAAACAAGGCACATATGTCATTATTCTTTATATACCCAATCACCGTGCTGGGTACACCTAAAATGTGTCAGAAGCATTTGCTGCGTTGAAGGAAGCATAGATAAATGATTATGAGGCACATTATAGAATTAGCCAGAGTTCCTCCTTAGTGAGAACACTATGTATACAAAAACACACACCAAACACTTACTCATTCACTCACATAGCTCTTGGAATTTACCCAGGAAGGGGGCCTCTGTAGGATTAGTTTAGGACCATTGCCATAGGCTACGATGGTTAAACTGGCCCTCTTTCCAATCCACCTGGAAAAACTCAGCGTTCTGCCTTCTCTTTAAATCATAGATTCCTAAGGAAATCTTTGCCTTTGCACTTTCTGTCTTCTCCCCATACATTATCTTTTTTTTATCTAACTGAAATTTTGCCTGTACACAAACTGTGATATGGAACATGAAGGCGAAATTAATCAAGTCAAGCCCCTCGGCGAGGTTGGAGAGGGCAGGGATTCTCGGAGTGCAGGGACCAGTGTGCCGAGGGTGGCTCTGTTGACCTCCTGGCCTTTCAGTAACCGTCACTGAGGAATGCTTTTGCTGTAGTTCAAGACCCTTAGGCCAGCTAGAGAGCAGCAGTCTTCAGGTACACAGCTGTGGTTCTAGGCTCCTTCCAGCTGCTTTCCACGAGGAGACGTACCGTGAGCAGTGAACTCACAGATGATTCCTCTGCTGTAGAAAGTAAAAGAAGCTGCCTCATAGAATTGTGAGACGTTCCCTAAGACAATTCTGGATTGTGACACAGAGCATTGTCTATTTTAGGATAAAGTGGCTTTTTTTTTTTTTTTTAAACTTAATGTGATTTTGCAAAATGAATGAAGCAGTATGAAGTCACACTTGATATGTAGATTTTAAAGTTAATTAGAAAAGAAAGTGGATTTTAGGTTTCAGATATTCAGACCTATTGAAAACAATTTTATAGTATTCTGTAGGGTTTTCCTTATCTGTTTAAATAGGCTTTCATAATACATAATCTCCATTTAAAAATTTTTGAATTGAACACACGTGCCCAGTCATATGTACTTCTACTGTTGCAGCAATTATTCTCCAACCATTTTGTTTCATAAAGCAAAGTTTGGGGAAATTACAGGATACTTTCTAAGTATTCTTTTGGTTTGGGGGCCTCTTAATATTTTCTTAAAACTCTGACTCTGATCAGACATCACATCCAGTTTAAAAATGGTTTCAGACATTGGTCTCCTTGGGTAATCTCTTCCTTCCAAGTCTTGGCTCACAGACACCACATTCCCAGCTTTGCTTAGAATGTCCCCATTCTTTTTTTAGTTTACTCCCCTTGGAAGAGAGAAGAGAAAGCAAGAAAAAAGAGAGGTGTGCCTGACCCAGAGTGTTTTCTATTTTCCCTTTCTTAATTTGTAATTTTATACTCTGTACTCTGCTTGACTGTCTTAATTCCCAAGAGCATTCCGTGTGAGTTCTAGAGATCTGCTGTGTGATTAATTCAGTGTCCATGTCATGAGCCCGTAGGTACTATTGGAAAAGGGGCAAGGTCATGGAGGGCAGTTGGTGGGGTAGAACCTGAACGCTCTTCCTTGGAAAAGGGAAAGATTAGTGAGACAGAAGAGAGTGGGGAGGGTGTGCGAAGCCTGGAATGGACCGAGAGGGAGAGAGGTGGGGGTCTGTGTGATGTATCTGGGGGCATCAGTTGGTATGGAACAGAAGATCTACTGAAACCAGAGTCTAAAAATCCACCATGATCCCCATGAGCCTGTCGGAGATGAAAACATCCGATTTGCAATGAAAGTACATCTTTCAAGTGAATGCATAAATGGAAGCTGGCTCTTTGGTTTTGTTAGAGGTGGAGAGGAAGCTATGACAATAAGAGCAGATCTCAAATGTTAATCACCTGTGGCACAGTAGTTAACTTAGAATAATATGGATCTGTTTTTGCATATAAAATTCTCTACAAGCCTGTCTTCTTTAATGTGTATGCATGCAAGTATATAAATTGCCAAATCCATGTCAGTTGTAAAGTAATGGCACTGAGGGCATCATAAATTACCATGGTGATCCTCAGGAGAAGACACTGTCGTGTCTGAATGAGTGTGTTTCACTTCCAGAGTAATGTATGCCTTCATCTGGCCCAGCAGTCAGCATATTGCCCTGTGTTGATGGATATTGTCAGCTGGAAGCTACACTACATTTCACTGCACAATAAACATGGCTGTCAAACCCATATAAAGTGAAATCAATTTATCCTGTATGGTCAGTGCATTTTAAATGAAATTAATGTACTGTGGGTATGGTGGCAAAAAGGTAGCATATTAGTTATGCATCTTGGGATCTGAGTCTTTTCATGTAAGGGATCATTCTGTCTAGTAGTCCTAAAAGAAGGCCTGTGTATAAAATATGTTACTTTTGCATGGTCTTCAGAAAGTGGGCCCTCCACCCTCCCTTCACGTTCGGAAACGAATTAACACCATCATCCAATTCGGCCCTTTTATCCTGTCTTTTGTTTGCAACAAATGATGGCTATGTTTGCCAAATAATAGCGCACTTTAATGTTCTAATTCATTCCTAGCTCTGACACAAACAAATTTCTACATCATCAAGGTATCTGGGAATAGAGGAGAAGAGCCGGAGATGGATTGGGTCATGTTGTCCCTGTATAATTACTCCACTGAGCTGAAAGGATTTACTTTTTCCAAAAAGTAGAAATGTTTGCTTTAACGTATATTTTGCTTTTAAGCTTTTGGAAGTAGGCTTTGTGCTTTGTGCAATAGGAGCCCTGGCTCGCCGTCCATCCAACAGTACATTTAATAGAGAAGTGCTCAACCTACAGGGAGACATTTGGCAGCCGCCACGTTGTGAAGCACACACCAGTGCCATGCTGGTGCGTGACAACAAGCCAGAGCTCTGTTCACTCATTCAATCGATCTCCTCAGTCATTCATTAATTTAACGTATTCTACTAATTGAAACTCTGCATGCCGAGCGCCTTCCTGGAACCGAGGGATGCAGCAGTGAACCAGCCTGTTCCAGCCATATCCTCACGGAGCTTTCAGTCTAGTAGTTACTAGTCACCTTTCCAGAAACGACAACATCATATCAGGAATTTAGACGTGGTTTTGTAGGGGGATGCTAAAGAACTACCCTTAAAGAGCAGAAAAATATATCAGGACTCTTGAAAACACATGCCTTTTCACCTACTACTTTTGCACACGAGTTGGAAACCAAAACATCTTTTACGTAATACATATTTATTGAGCATCTACTCTGTGGGAAATCCTGGGGATGCAAGAATGAGTAGAACATAAACACCAGCTTTAGGGGGTCTCATATTCCTGGGGATGGAGTAGAAAAATTAGAGAGAGAGAGTCACATAAACAAGTAATCACTTTGGAGCATACAGCGTAAAAGAAGCAAAATGAATGCAGCCCTGGGAGCATCTCTGCAAATGCTGTTCCTTGCAGCCTTTCCATCCGTCCTAGCCACCCTCTCCCTATTCACATGCTGCTTTGTATTCCTCCTCCAGGACTCAGCTCAGACACACCTCTCCTAGGAGAGGAGACAGTCCCGTCTGGGGCCCTCTGGAATCCTGTTTACTTCAATATTACAAGCACTTACCACACGCCCTGACAGTTGTCTTGTGGGGTCTGTCTCCTCTCTGAACTTGGAGCTGTTTAAAAGCAGGGGCTGTTTTAGTCACTTTGTATCCCTAGCACCTGGCATAAATCCTAACTCATAGTAATTGCTCAATTAATGAATTAATGCATGAAACGCACCACAGTTGAATCGGCCTTGAAGGCTGAGTGGGATTTAGTGTGAAGAGGTGGGGAAAGGGGTTGCCTTTCAGGCACTGAGAATAGCACCGGCCAAGGCACAAGACTGTGCAAGAGAATCCTGTTTGCGGGAAACGGTTTAGAGTGGCCGCAGTTACTGGCAAATGAGGCAGGAATGATAGCCAGGGGTCTGCTCTCAAAGAGAGGATGACAGCAGAAATAATGCATCATTGCCTGCAATGGATTGTTTTAAAACATGCACTAGGTGTATAAAAACAGGCAACATTAATTCTGCCCTGTGTGTCTTGGAAGCCTATGTCAGAAGGGCCTGCAGAATTATTTGAACCTGTCTTCTGCTTCCAAGAGGTCACTTAAAAAGAAGGGCAGGGCCTAGGGAAAGTTGAACCAGGTGACAGGCCGTGTTGCGTGATCCAGATAATAATGCTCTGCACCCATCTTGTTCCTCCTGCCCTGACATTACAGGAAGTAAAGCCATGAATGGCTCTGCAGCTAAACTACAGCAGTATTATTGTTGGCCAACAGGAGGTGCCACTGTGGCTGAAGCACGAGTCTACAGGGATGCCCGCGGCCGGGCCAGCAGCGAGCCACACATCAAGCGACCAATGAATGCATTCATGGTTTGGGCGAAGGACGAGAGGAGGAAAATCCTTCAGGCCTTCCCTGACATGCATAACTCCAACATTAGCAAAATCTTAGGTGAGTGCAGCCACTGCGGCCGGCCTTCTACCCCATGAGTGTCCCAAGAGTGGAAAGCAGGGCGCAATGTGACACAGAAGGGAGACTGGTTTGTAGAAGTTCGATATGGCCCAGCAAGCTGCCACGGGAGGCTTTGTCACCACCTCTGCGTCCCCTGCCCCCGCCTGTGGCATTGAGCTTTGGGAGTTATTACATCCACAAGGTGCCAGGGCAGGACTGACTAAAAACTTCTTTTAGAGACAAAACTATTTATAGGATGTGTTAATACTGCGAATTTGGCAACTCTGAGAGGTGACTGCTACGCAGCCGTCAGGGAGACCAGCTTTATCTCCTTTCCTTACTCAGTCTTCTTAAATTCATACGTTGTTATGAGACCTTGGGCACCCTCGTCAATCCTGCAGCTTTTCCGCTTCAGTATTTCCAGGTGCGCCCATCCCTCTGCAAGACTTAGGGGTGAGCCCCCAAAGAGTGTGAGGTTCATGCAGTAGAGAACAGTGCCTCTAATGATGACTTTAAAACTTGTAAAATAAAACTGCATTTACCGTAATAAGATGTGACTGGTTCAGATGCAGAGCCCTGAGCTGAGCCACCGGGCCACAGGGCAGAGGCCCCGCGACGAGCGGCCAGGGCGGGCGCCCGTTCCTGGACGCAGCCCGGCCCCGAGCTGTAGCTCGCCCGGGGCACGTTATGCAGTTTGGAATTATTGTGCTCAACATATTGAACATATTTTATTCAACATGCAGCATTACAGTCAACATGTTTCCTCTTTAAAAAGAAGGAACACAGAAGGCACTGTTCTATTTAAGCTGTCAGGATGTGGCAGAATCTCAAAGGGAGCCGGTGAAGCCGCCGAAAAACATCACAGACTTAAACTGTGGTTTTCAGTTTTTAAATGTTTTTGTTCAAAAGCAATAAATATTTAACCTGAGTGAATATCAGTGATCTGGACACACACAAATACACATGTTTTGTCACTGTATAAATAATTTAACTTGATTTGGAGACATTTTGAGGCAGCAACCTCTAAGAAAATTTAAAACACACACGAGATCAAATAGTGGTGAAATATGAAGATACAAATTTCTCCTTTTGTTTTCATTTTTCATTCGAATTTCTCAATGGGTAGTAAATGTCATTACAATTAAATGTATTTTTAGAGCGTCAGAGCTATACGCATAGGAGTATCATTCCTTTTAATTTAAATACCTTTCAGACCAAAATGCTCCCAATGCATATAATTTTTTTTAATTAATAGGCATTCAGAAGAAAAGCAGTGTTTCCGTGTTCTTAAAGTTTGATATCTAACTCTGAAAAAAATTTTTTTTGCCGTTTTAGTGGCAGTATGAGTAAGCTCCCAGATGGGCACAGAACTTCTCTGTTTCCATTTTGGCTGCTGTGGGGAATCTATATTATTGGCATGCATTCTGTGAAAAAAAATTTATTAAGAACATAGTAAGTGTATTCATTAAAATGTAAACTTTTAAGCACGAGAAGACCAAGAATCCTCTGTTCCCGGGCCGTCGTGCTGGAGGCTCGCGCGCCGCGGAGCCTACCTGCGGGCCCGCGGACCGGCTCCCAGCGTCAGGAAGGAGCAGGGATGGGTGTGCTGTGGAGGCAGCCCAGGATATTGCTGGCCACAGAGAATATTTGTACAACTTCCCCATTTGTTTATGTATGAGAAATCTCCCCTGAAGAATAGCTAGCCTCCAGTCAGCACAGCTGTGACCGCTTTATTCACCCGCGAGACGCACAAATGCAATTTGATACAAGTCAAAAAACACATCCCTTCTTCGTCAAGTGTTTAGATAATTCTTTATAAACAATATTAGAGGAGTGAATACTTTTCCTTCTTCCTGCATAAACCGTATTAAAAAATTTTGTACTTTCACTGGTACAGCTTTGAAGGAACGTTTATAGTACTTGAAAACGGTATATATGGTTCCAACCGTACCTTCCGGTCCTAAAGCTGTAACTTCTTCAGTAGAGTCGAGTCTTTTTAATTACCCTGGGCCAGGGGGGACAGTGGGCACGGTAGGTTTTTATATATGGAAGGATATCATATCAGCTGACATCTTATCAGAGGATAGCTTTGCTAAAGATACTTGGAGTGAGAGATGTTTGAACTTCTGGAACCAAGAAAGCTTTTCCTGAGAACCCTTAGGATGCTTAGGGACGACTGGGTTTCTAGCCCTCTTGAGAGAGAGGCAGGTGGGTGGGGGAAAGACTTTGGTGTGGGAGATGATCTGTAAGCAGCAAAGACATGTTTTAAAACAGGACACTTATTGTAACACCGGCTTTACATTATTGAGAGATAATATAATAATGTATCACATATGATATTATTCCTCGCTCTCTGGTCTGAAAGCCTAGTGGTGAGGCTCAGTGGTAGGTGGAGATAGGAGCCACTCAGGCACAGGTGAGTGCAGCAGGGGGAAGGTCTGGCTGTGTTTGCCAGGACTGTGTCGCCTTCGCCACGTGGGTACTTAAGCCTGTTCTTATGTCCAGGGTCTCGCTGGAAATCCATGTCCAACCAAGAGAAGCAACCTTATTATGAAGAGCAGGCCCGGCTAAGCAAAATCCACTTAGAGAAGTACCCGAACTATAAATACAAACCTCGACCGAAGCGCACCTGCATTGTTGACGGCAAGAAGCTCCGGATCGGGGAGTATAAGCAACTGATGAGGTCTCGGAGACAGGAGATGAGGCAGTTCTTTACCGTGGGGTAAGTGCTCCCGAACTCAGCCCCTGGGCTTCCCGTGCCCAGGGAGAAACCTCAGGGTGGCCACTGGCAGCTTGTTTGGGGAGGCGATTAGGGGAGGGAGGAGGTTGTGACCGACTGCAGGGGCCTGGCTGTGGTCATCTTTGCGGGGTTGCGGGCGGCCAGCCTTGCAGCAGGGCTCCTGCTCAACGCCAAACCTACGAAGGTCACTCCCAACCGGTCACCCTGTCATTGTCGCCCCATCTAACCTAAGACACTCAGTGCCCACACACAACGTTTCTGGTAGTTTATTTCAGCAGACACACAGGGAGGAAAAAATAAAAACTAAACGTAAGAAATCCCCAGAAGCTTTCCAGCTTCTCTGGGTGGTGCTTCTGACTCTAATCACAATAGTCTGCTTTTGTTGTGGGATCGACCACAAGATAATTGGCCTTGACATTGGTTAGAGGACCTCATTTTTGGCATGAGATCCAGAACTCCTGTTGCAGTAAATTATTCTGTGGTGGAAACAGTAACAATGTGGATTTTCTTGCTTAAATCAAAAACTAGACATGTTTTTGATATCTTCAAGTCTGATTTCATGTCATTTTGTTTAAAAATTAGGTAATAGATTTCTGGTATAAATTTCGACTTGGCTGACTGGCTGTCTGCATTCAAAAGAGGCCCCTTGTAACCACAGTAGTCAGGATAAGTGGGGATGCAGATGCCTGCAGGTTCCAGCACACCCGGACCTAGAAGCACAGGGGGAGGGTGCGGTGGGCCCGGGCTGGAGTGCTGGCCTGAGGCCGCTGGGATCAGGTTGGGAAGACATTTGGGGTAGAGCTAGAGAGGGAAAAGTAGAGGAAGGAAAAGGAAGCTGTGTTCGCTGTCAACCGGACAGAGAGCTGGGGCTGTGCTAGGTCAGGGAGATGAGAGGAGCTGGGCTGTGCTGGGTCAGGGAGATGGAGGAGCTGGGCTGTGCTAGGTCAGGGAGATGAGAGGAGCTGGGCTGTGCTAGGTCAGGGAGATGGAGGAGCTGGGCTGTGCTAGGTCAGGGAGATGGAGGAGCTGGGCTGTGCTAGGTCAGGGAGATGGAGGAGCTGGGCGGTGCTAGGTCAGGGAGATGGAGGAGCTGGGCTGTGCTAGGTCAGGGAGATGAGAGGAGCTTGGGCTGTGCTAGGTCAGGGAGATGGAGGAGCTGGGCTGTGCTAGGTCAGGGAGATGGAGGAGCTGGGCTGTGCTAGGTCAGGGAGATGGAGGAGCTGGGCTGTGCTAGGTCAGGGAGATGGAGGAGCTGGGGCTGTGCTAGGTCAGGGAGATGGAGGAGCTGGGCTGTGCTAGGTCAGGGAGAGGAGAGGAGCTGGGCTGTGCTAGGTCAGGGAGATGGAGGAGCTGGGCTGTGCTAGGTCAGGGAGATGGAGGAGCTGGGCTGTGCTAGGTCAGGGAGATGGAGGAGCTGGGCTGTGCTAGGTCAGGGAGATGGAGGAGCTGGGCTGGCTGGTCAGGAGATGGAGGAGTCTGGGCTGTGCTAGGTCAGGGAGATGGAGGAGCTGGGGCTGTGCTAGGTCAGGGAGATGGAGGAGCTGGGCTGTGCTAGGTCAGGGAGATGGAGGAGCTGGGCTGTGCTAGGTCAGGGAGATGGAGGAGCTGGGCTGTGCTAGGTCAGGGAGATGGAGGAGCTGGGGCTGTGCTAGGTCAGGGAGATGGAGGAGCTGGGCTGTGCTAGGTCAGGGAGATGGAGGAGCTGGGCTGTGCTAGGTCAGGGAGATGGAGGAGCTGGGCTGTGCTAGGTCAGGGAGATGGAGGAGCTGGGCTGTGCTAGGTCAGGGAGATGGAGGAGCTGGGCTGTGCTAGGTCAGGGAGATGGAGGAGCTGGGCTGTGCTAGGTCAGGGAGATGGAGGAGCTGGGCTGTGCTAGGTCAGGGAGGTGAGAGGAGCTGGGGCTGTGCTAGGTCAGGGAGATGGAGGAGCTGGGCTGTGCTAGGTCAGGGAGATGGAGGAGCTGGGCTGTGCTAGGTCAGGGAGATGAAGGAGCTGGGCTGTGCTAGGTCAGGGAGATGGAGGAGCTGGGCTGTGCTAGGTCAGGGAGATGGAGGAGCTGGGCTGTGCTAGGTCAGGGAGATGAGAGGAAAGATATCTCTTAAAGGTGAAGTAAAGAGCTAGTTAGTATTAAGGACTCTCAAAAAACAACCTCATGGAACAAAAAGTTTGTTTTAATATCATGTATTTAAAAGCATAAAATTAATTCGGAATAATAAACAGTCAGAATAAAAACAATAACAAAAAGGCCAATCAAGCAGGCTGGCACGGATCTGTATAGTCCAGGAGAGTGTTCTGGGGGGGAACAGGGCTTTGGTGTCTGGGAGGTTCTAACCCTGACTGTGCCACATACTTGGGCAGTGATTTAGCTTCTCTAAGCTTCTCTTTTCTCATGTGTGAAATGAAAAAAATTATAGTACTTATCTCATGATTGTTGAGAGGATTCAATGAGGCAATGTTTTAAAAATACTTTGTAGTCCTGGCTGGTGTAGGTCAGAGCGTCAGTGGTTAGAGCATCAGTCTTCGAACCAAAGGGTCTCATGTTTGATTCCTGGTCAAGGGCACATACCTGGGTGGCAGGTTTGATCCCCCACCCTGGCTGGGGTGCATGCACGAGGCAACCAATAGATGTGTCTCTCTCACATCAGTGTTTCTCTCTCCCTCCCTTCTACACTTTCTGAAAATCAATGAAAGAATATCCTCTGATGAAGATTTTTTTTAAAGTACTTTATTTAGTGCTGAGTTAGTACAATACCAATAAAGATGAATCCCTATCATCATTTCTATTAAATATGGATTTACCGTCATAGTAAAACTATATATTATATCACACTAAATAATCAATGAATTTCTTTTCACTGTGGCAGAACCTTTTTTAGGTAAAGAGAGATTTAAGCCACTTTGTTATGTAAGGATCCTAATCTATTAACAGATGTAGACATGCAAAATGGTATTATCAGATTCTCCTGCATTCTAAATGTTTGCATTTTTAAAAATAATGCTTTTAACACCAAAAGTAGAACGCAGTATAACTGATCCATTCACGTGCTAATTAGAGGATTTATGAAAAATACCAATTCATAGTGTACTTTAGGAAGTATAGTCATATGTAACAAAACACAAATTTAAGACTGTGTGATAACTGTTTTCTTTTAATCATGTTAATATGTCTCTGCGACTCTATATAATCTCTTCTGAATAAAGAATCAAACGTTTATATTTAAGATCCTCTGTGATGTCCACCCTTCTCTCAATCATGTCCCCTGCATGTCTGGTGCTACATAATGAGTCTCTCTCACCATAGTCTGGGAGGCTAGCAAAGGTGCCATTTTAGTTCCCTGGTACTTATTTGAAAACAGGAGATGCAGTTCCCTTTACCAGACGGTACATTGAAACAGCTGTGGATCAAAATATCTCAGCACATAACAATGCTTGTAAAATAGAAAAAAACTAAACATGTGCCTTTTGTTGTCTACTGTAAATTGTAGGTGTTTTAGATATACACATCACATAGTCCTCTAAAAAGATAAACAAATGGAGACTTCCAGAGGCCCTATGGCGGCTGAATGGTGAGAAGGAGCAAAGGTTTAAATCCAGATCTCTGCCTCTGTTGTGCCAGATAACTGAGGAATTGTCCTTACCACACGGCCTCAAAGTAAGCCTCGCAGCCCTATTTTGGCACAGCCGTGAGGGAGAGCTCCTAGAAACTAGGGAAGCTAAGATGGTTGGCTGTGGTGCACAGTGGCATGAGAGGAGCTTTGAAACTCAGAGAGTAAGGCCCCTGATTTGGGTGGTGGAGGAGGTTCTTTGTGGAAGGGTCATTGTAGGCTGGGAATGGAGCTACAGATGTGCAGGCAGTGACCACTGGGTGTCTCATTCTCTAGTCCTCAGTGCTGATGTTTTCTCCTGCCCAACTTGGTAATACCTGCTACATAAAGCCAGGTGTTATTTCCACTTAAAGAATTGTATTCTCTTTTAGGTAGTTGTATTTGATAGGTTATTAACTCCCTGGGGTTCGTCTTTGGAAATTGGTCTTTATTAGATGTGAAGTTGTTACAAGAGGGAAAAACAAATAAGAAATTCAAACATTGCTATTGACTTCTTGAGGGTATGAGGGTAAAATCAATATTTATAGCTGAGTTTGAAAAGACATACACAACTTTCAAGCCAATAAAATTTTGCTCAACAGGGCCATGCATTTTACTGATGATACAATTAGTTCAGTGAGTTAGATTTTTTTTTCCTACTTAGCTGTTATGAAATGAATTTATCAATAATGTGATGTGGAGCAAAGTTAGCTCTTACCTTGGATTTAACCCTCTTGGTTGACAGGTTAAGTATCAGAATTTTGTAATAATTCTGATAAGACTACTATTAAGGTTGAAATGATATTTATTAGGGTACATAGAGCTACAATGTTGTCTTTTCCCAAAGAACCATGGCCAAATGCCCTTCCATTTATTTGAAACCCATTCGACAATTTACTGTGAACTAAGAGAAGATTATGCAGATACTATGAGATATTAAATTTGGTGATATTTTTGAATAATAATAATAATAGCCCTGGCCAGTTTGTCTCAGCAGTTGGAGTGTCGGCCTGTGGTACAGAGAGACCCGGGTTCGGTTCCCGCTAAGGGCATGTACCTCGGTTGCAGTTTGTCCCTGGCCCTGGTTGGTCGTGCGGGTGGCAGCCGCTCGATGTGTCCCTTCACATCGATGTTTCTCTCTCTCTCTCTCTTCCTCTCTCTCCCTCCCGCTCTATCTGAACAAAAAATGGAAAAATGTCCTTGGGTGAGAATAAAAAAAATAATAATAATAAATAATAATAATAATGGTGAACTATTGACTACTTACCCTATGCTACATAGTATGTTCAATGAATTATACAGACCATTGCAAATGCAACAGATTTATAAAATCCTCACAGTGGGGTTGGAAAACACAAGGTTCAGAGATGTTCAGTAACTTGTCCAAGGCCACACAGC